AATCACATTGACGAGAGGTGTTGCTAGCCAGGAGAAGCAGCAGCTTCTGCTCCCCACACCCCCCCCACCCCCACCTCCTCTAGACTCTGGGCCCCTCCCTGCTTGACGCAAGGTTTTTACTTGGTAATAATAATTAATTAACATTTATGGAGTGCTTCCTTTGTCAGGCACTGCTGTAAGCATTTAACACGTATTACCTCATTTGAATCTTACAAGATTCTTATAAGATACATATTATTGTTATTATTTCCATTTTATAGATGACGAAATGGAAGCAAAAAAAGTTCAACTGTCCAAGGTTGCAGATTACAAGAGGCAGAGCCAGGATTCAAACCCAGACAGTCTGACCCCAGTTCCCTCTTGCTTAAGCATTACTTTGTGCTGCTTCTTGTTATCTTACAGATACTTTTCTTCTCTGAGTAGTATCTCAGTCCCCAGCTGTGTTTTAACTTCAAAACATTTTTAGCTAGTATCCTCTCTGCCACAGTCATAGGTTTACAGAGGAACAAAAACGTGTGTGTGTGTGTGTGTGTGTGTGATTATACAAATCAGATAACTTTCATTTTATAATTAGATTAATTAGGGTAACATTAGCAGCTGTTATGGATACAACCCTAAAGTCTCATTTGCCTAACACAATGGAAATCTAATGCTTGCTAAAGTGCAAAACAGGTGTTCCTAATCAGAGGATAACTCTCTCCTGACAGGCTTCCATCTTATGGCTTCCCCTTCTAGGAAAGTCAGAGCTCCTAAGGATGTCACACCCTTCTGCATCAAGCAGGAAAGAGGAAGAACATGGAGGCTCATCTGTAAAAGGTTATTATGGTCCAGGCCTGGAAGAGGCACACATCACATGAGTTCTCATCCCATTGGCCAGAACTCAGTCACATGGCCATATTATTTAATAGTAAACAGGAAAGAAATTCTGCTACCTGCTACAATAGGGATAAACTTTAGAACAATTATGCTAAGTGAAATAAGCCAGACACAAAAGGACCTGGCTGCAAAGAAAGCCGGCAAATCTCAGCCAAGTGTGGTGGCTCACACCTGTAATCCCAGCACTTTGAGATGCCAAGGCAGGCAGATCACTTGAGGTCAGGAGTTCAAGACCAGCCTGGGCAACATGGTGAAATCACATCTCTGCTAAAAAAAAAAAAAAAAAAAAAACTTGTCTAGGCACAGTGGCTCATGCCTGTAATCCCAGCACTCTGGAAGGCCAAGGTGGGCAGATCACCCAAGGTCAGGAGTTTGAGACCAGTCTGGCCAATATGGTGAAAACCCATCTCTACTAAAAATACTAAAATCAGGTGGGCGTGGTAGCAGGCGCCTATAATCCAAGCTACTTGGTCGGCTGAGCCAAGATTGTGCCACTGCACTCCAGCCTAGGCAACGAAACAAGACTTCGTCTAAAAAAGAAAAGAAATCTGGCAAATCTTGACCAGCTGTGTGCCCAGGGAAATGAGAAAACAACTTTTGGGTGAACACAAATAGAAATGGCAATCTGCCATGATAGCCTTCCAATCCAACAATGCATTTGCCTAGGTGATGTTTTCAGAGCTCTCCTGAGCCAGAGACTCGAGTCATTGCCAAGGGTCTTGGGAAGGTAAAATGGACCACCAACAAGTGAAGACGTCCCTAAAACTCCTCTCGACTGCATCTATCGTTGCTTACCCTTATGCTTAACTTATTTTATTTGTGTAGGGTCTCACTCTGTTGCCCAAGCTTGAGTACAGTGGCATAATCTTGGCTCACTGCAACCTCTGCCTCTCAGGTTCAAGTGATTCTCCTGCCTCAGCCTCCTGAATAGCTGGAATTACAGGTGTGCACCACCACACCCAGCTAATTTTTGTATTTTTGGTAGAGACAGTGTTTCACCATGTACAGTAGGCTGGTCTGGAACTCGTGATTTCAAGTGATCTGCCTGCCTTGGCCTTCCAAAGTGCTGGGATTACAAGCATGAGCCATGGCACCTGGCCCTTTATGCCTTTTTTTAACCTTACAGATTAAAAAACCACAAATGTGGCTGGGCTCAGTGGCTCACGCCTATAACTCCACTTTGCAACGGGGGCAGATTGCTTGAGTCCAGGAGTTCAAGACCAGCCTGAGCAACATGGCAAAACCCCATCTCTACAAAAAATACAAAAATTATCCGGGTGTAGTGGCACACACCTGTAGTCGCAGCTACTTGGAAGGCTGAGGTGGGAGGATCACTTGAGCCAGTGAAGCCAAGGCTGCAGTGAGCTGTGATCATGCCACTATACTCCAACATGGCTGACAGAGGGAGACTCTATCTCAAAATAAATAAATAAAGATGAAATTGAAAAGCCACAAGTAATATGACAGTCTGAATCTTTCACTGATTACTTCCATAGAGAGGTATCAGCTAAGGTCCAGAAGATTTAACCAAGCACAGGCTCCCCAGCTATCAACACTTTTGAGAAGTGTTTTGATACCTTTTGATAATGTTCTTGGGCAAACATTATCTTACAACAGATAAGATCACAATATTAAGCAGCAGAAATTGGGCTATTATTTTAGACCCTTTTCTGCTTAACCTATACTTTAATAGACAGTTATGACTTTTTGGTTACCTGAATGCATGTTTGTATGTCACACTAGATAAAGAGGGGATGATAAGGGTGTTTCTCTATCAAAACTAGGAATGACCCCAAAAAGCAATTGGTCCAAGAGTCTACGACGGGAAGAAAATGTATTCCCTTCAATAAAGTAAGATGATAGTTAAGATAAATTAAGTCATGGCTTTTAAAACACATTAGTATCATATAATGACTTTTAAAAGAAAAAAACGCTGGGCGTGGTGGCTCATGCCTGTAATCTCAGCACTTTGGGAGGCCGAGGTGGGTGGATCACTTGAGGTTGGGAATTCGAGACCAGCCTCACCAACATGGAGAACCCCCATCTCTACTAAAAATACAAAATTAGCCAGACATCGTGGGGCAAGCCTGTAATCCCAACTACTTGGGAGACTGAGCAAGGGAATCACTTGAACCTGGGAGGCAGAGGTTGCTGTGAGCCAAGATCGTGCCTTTGCACTCTAGCCTGGGCAACAAGAGTGAAACCCTGTCTCAAAAAAAAAAAAAAGAAAGAAAGGAAAAAAAAAAAACATTTCTTAAAGACCTGGCATGAAATATACATAAATTGACTTGATACTTGCCAAAAATATCTCTTGCAACTATGCCCAAAATATGTACATATTTAAGTAACGACCAACAGGCAACATTCAAAAACAAAAAGAGTAATTGCTATGGGTGGCTATTTTCTCCTTTCAACATTTTCTCTAGTATTTTTACATGTTATTGTTAACAATTTCTTTCTAATTTGTTACAAAAGAACAAAGAAGCAGACAAATCCTTTCCTGTTCTTAACACAGCTGTAAGAAACCTTCCATTCTTCAGTAGAAGACAGTCACCATTTTCATCTAGATTGGCAGAGTAAGTAGTTCTAAAGTGAAGTGTAGAATTTTTTAAAATTATAGTCCCCTGATCAAGACTGGGGGAAATTAATTTTTTAAAGCATGCGAAAAGAGCACTTTCCTAGAGGATACACAAGGACTGGTCAGTCTGTTCCTAACACTGAGGATGCCCAAAGCCTGCTACCCTGACCAGCACTTTGACTATTAAGAAGCTGAGAGGTGAGACTACTCCTTGACTTAGAGAATATTTTATTGGCAGAAGCTCCAAAGAGATCCTTTCTTTAAATATTCACTGTGTTCAGCGTACCCTATTACCTTAGGGACTTACTGAGAATTCCAAGAAAGTCTGTTTTGCATCCTTAGGCCAAGGTTAGCTATTTCAGGTGGTTGGTGTATGTGATGTGTTTTCTTATGGACACCATAATTTGTCCCTGAAAACCCATTTTTTCTACAAGGTCTTTTAAACTTCCCAAATCTCTTTGTGATTCTTAAGCTCACCAATGACTATCAGAAAGTGCCACCTGTGTCCAAGCCCACAATTTCTCACCTTCATTAAAATATCTACCTTCATTGCCCTATTAGATCCCAGAGAATCTTTGTCTCGCCTACTTAGATATCACTTAAAAATCCCAAACATGTATGAACATTTGAAGCTTCCCTGAGAAGTCAAGTTAGAAACTCAGGGCTCTCTCCTTTATTCTTTGAGACAGAATCTCATTCTGTCACCCAGTCTGGAGTGGAGTGTCAACATCTCTGCTCACTGCAACCTCCACCTCCCAGGTTCAAGTGATTCTCCTGCCTCAGCCTCCCAGGTAGCTGGGATTACAGGCATGCACCACTACACCCAGCTAATTTTTGTATTTTTGGTAGAAATGGGGTTTCACCATGTTGGCCAGGCTAGTCCCGAACTCCTAACCTCAGGTGATCCACCCGCCTCAGCCTCCCAAAGTGCTGGGATTATAGGCATGAGCCACTATGCCTGGCCTCCTTTATTCTATTCTAATAATTCTACCTGAGACATATGCAGAGAGTTAGTACAGTTCTCTTTATCCTTTGCTCATAATCCAGTACTTCCAATGAATTACTTACCTATGTTGGAATTACCCACTAGCAGAAGATGATACTTAGGATGGAGAACCATAGAAAACATAACGCAGAAGAGGGAATAGGAATTGGTATCTGCAGCAGGTCAGGCAAGTATTCCTACGTCTTGTTGGCAGACTCCATGAGTCCCTTGTGTTTCTGCACATCTATGACAGATTTTATTTACTCTGGGTTATCCGCTCAAGTGAATAGCCTTAGAAGATAGTGTCTTCCTCCAGGATGGAGGGCAGATTTGTTTGCTGTCCCAGATAATAGAGATAATGTTGCTCTCCAGGGCAAAGTTTGGACGGGTTTGCAAGCAATCCCCTTATAAGACTGTTGGTTTCCTAAGTTCATGGTTCCTCAGCTGTGCCACAAACCCACTGTGTGCACAACATTCACTGGGCCTGCATCCACATTATCACTGTGGAACTTGGGGACAGGAGGAACAGTTGGAAACATTAAGATTATGCAGCCTACTTACCATGAGTATAAAGTTCTTTCTTTTGGGCCCAGGACATTCATGTCTTCTTCCAACATCCAGGAAACAGTGGCAGACTATCTTGTTATCTTGAAAGTAGAATAAAATCTCAAGCCTTCGCAATTCTTGACTCTCCTAACAAGAAATAGCTCAGTGTTAGGATGAGGAAGTCATTGATATGGTTTGTCTCTGTGTCCCCACCCAAATCTCAATTGTACATCTTCAATTGTAATCCTCAGTGTTGGAGGAGGGGCCTAATGGAAGATGATTGGATCACAGGGGTGGATTTCCCTCTTGCTGTTCTCATGATAGTGAGTTGTCACAAGATCTGGTTGTTTAAAAGTGTAGCACTTCTCCCTTCATTCACACTCTCTCCTGTTCTGCCATGTGAAGATGTGCCTGCTTCCCCTTTGCCTTCTGTCATGATTGTAAGTTTCTAAGTTTCCTGAGGCCTCCCCAAGCCATGTGAAACTGAGCCAATTAAACCTCTTTTCTTCATAGATTACCCAGTCTCGGGTAGTTTCTTATAGCAATGCAAGAACAGACCCACTTAACCACAGTCAAAAGGAATTTTGATTTCACAGGCAAAACAGATAGGTATGTATGATGGCTAAGTATTCATGTGTGCCTTCCATTCAGGTGAACTTATCTCTGATCTCTTATACTTACCAGAGGACTTACCAACTTCTCACAGATCCATTAACAGTATCTCTGAATGTCTTTTTTGTTTTGTTTTTGTTTTTATTTTTGAGATAGAGTCTTGCTCTACTGCCCAAGCTGGAGTGCGGTGGCACGATCTCAGCTCACTACAACCTTCACAGCCTCCCAGGTTCTCATGCCTCAGCCTCCTGAATAGCTGGGATTACAGAAATGCACCACCACACCCAGCTAATTTTTTGTATTTTTAGTAGAGACAAGGTTTTGCCACATTGCCCAGGCTGGTCGCAAACTCCTGAGCTCAGGCAATCCACCTGCCCTGGCCTCCCAAAGTGCTTTATAGGTGTGAGCCGCTGCACCAGGCCTGAATGTCTTTAACAGAGGTAACACCACTATAAACACCAACTATGTGGCCAGGATATGCTCTTACTTTTGAAAAGAGCTTTCCCAGGAGGGAGCTGTTTTGTTCTCATGGAATAGAACAGAGTTCTAGGAAGAAGAGAGTTTAGAGAATGAGAGTTGAAATGTTAAAAAATTTCTACTAAATCAAATAATCTTCAACTAGGAAACAATAAAATATACAAGTCATATGCAGATACCTCAGTTATAAACGGAATCATTAATTTTGCCAGCTATACCTAATGACATATTTTGATTATCAATTACTTTCCATTCAAATTGTAAATCTTTTTCTAAGAATGAAAGAACTAAAAACATGAGAGAATCCAGCCATCTCTAACAATAACAGATTATGATACTTAACCCCAAACTTGTGTTAGATAACTTTGATCTACACAGGACACCTGGGATGGAGATAGATTTCATATTTGTTATTAATGATTATCGAGAGAGAGTCTCAAAATTGTTTTCTAGTATCTATGCCTTGCTTTCAGACTAATACAATCCAAAATTGTTCTAAAAATGTTTAATTGCAGTAAACCAGATATTTATACAAGAATTTTTCTCATTCAATCCAAATATATATATTTCTACTGTAAACTGGAATAAAAGCAGATTTAGCCACTTTAGTTGGAACTCTATTCTTTGCTTTCCACTAAAATAATAGAGCTGTAATGCTGGGCATGGTAGCTGACGCCTAATCCCAGAACTTTGGGAGGCTGAGGCAGGTGGATCATTTGAGATCAAGAGTTCAAGATCAGTCTGGCCAACATGGCGAAACCCCATTGCTACAAAAAATACAAAAATTAACTGGGTATAATGGCATATGCCTGTAATCCCAGCTACTCAGGAGGCTGAGACAGGAGAATCGCTTGAACCTGGGAGGCAGAGGTTGCAGTAAACCAAGATGGTGCCATTGCACTCCAGCCTCGGTGACAGAGTCCATCTCAATAATAATAGTAACAGAGCTGTATAGTAAAATTGTACTAATTCTCATGAGTATTATCATTTGTTACTACTGAGAAATTCCTTAATATCTAATGTGTTTTGGAAGAAGAGGGGCTAGTATTTTAAAGATAACTTATAAAAGGACATTGAATCTAACTCAAATTGAAATTTCTAAACTTATTCTTGCCTTTCCTTTCCCTATCCAGAAATAGCCCCTACAGATCAAACCCATTCATAAGAAAAATGCAAATTACAATAACATTGCCATGCTGAAATATATATTTTTACCTATAAAATGTACAAAGATAAACAGATTTGGTCATATACTGTGTTACAAAAGTATGGGAAACCAGGCACTGTTATATTTTACTTAATAGGAGAGAAAATTGATATAATCTCTATAAAGAACAATTAGACAATAGATAAGTATTTTAAATGGAGAAACAATTTGGCTGAGAAATTGAACTTCTAGGGACTTATCATACAGATATGCAAAATGACCTGTGCACAAGGCTATTCATTGCAGCACTGTTTGAAATAGCAAAGGATTGGAACAACCAAACACAATGGAATACTGTGCCACCAACCCCCCCAAAAAAGGGCATAAATCTGTATATAGGAATTTGGGCCAGGTGCAGTGGCTCACACCTATAATCCCAGCACTTTCAGAGGCCGAGGTGGGTGGATGACCTGAGGTCAGGAGTTCAAGACCAGCCTGACCAACATGTCAAACCCTGTCTCTACTAAAAATACAAAATTAGCTGGGAGTGGTGCATGCCTGTAATCCCAGCTCCTTGGGAGGCTGAGGCAGGAGAGTTGCTTAAAGAGGTGGAGGCTGCAGTGAGCTGAGATTACACTGAGCTGAGCCACTTTACTATAGGCCTGGGCAACAAGAGCAAAACTCCATCTCAGGAAAAAAAAAAAAAAAAGAATTTCATAGGACCTCTAAGCAAGGTACAAAAGAATGTATACAGTATGGTAGCATTTGTGTAAGAGACAAAAATGGTATGTATATAATGCCTCTGTAATGCGTCAAGCCTGAGCTACATTTCCCAGAATTTTTTTCCCAATTTGTTTCCAGTTAAGATGGGCCTCAGAAATGAGACATTTCTACATTAGGTTTCAGAGGCAGAAATGAAACAGAGCCATTTTAATTTTTATGCGGAAAAGGTGGAAGTAGGCACTTTTGCAGTTCACAAACAATATTGTATATCTGTTGGCCCATCTCTTTGACATGGGAGGCATTAGCTAGCCTGCAACCACTTCATCTTGCCCTGCATTCTTCTTCAGCAAGCCTCTCCATCTCTGGGCTCAGATGTGTGTTTTGGTTTTTGTTTTTGAGACAAAGTCTTCCTCTGTCTCCCAGGCTGGAGTGCAATGGAGCAATCTTGCCTCACTGCATCCTTTACTTCCCAGGTTCAAGCGATTCTCCTGCCTCAGCCTCCTGAGTAGCTGGGATTACAGATGCCCACCACCAGGCCTGGCTAATTTTTGTATTTTTAATAGAGACAGGGTTTCACCATGTTGGCCAGACTGGTCTCAAACTCCTGACCTCAAAGGATCCACCCACCTCAGCTTCCCAAAGTGCTGGAATTATGGGCATGAACCACTGCATCCGGCCAGATAGAGGTTTTATATGAAGGATTGGCTCACTTGAGTATGGGGGCTGAGCGGTCCCATGATCTGCAGTCTGCAAGCTGGAGACCCAAGAAAGTTGGTGGTGTAGTTCCAGTCCAAGCTCCAAAGCCTGAGAACCAGGGGCCAGTGGTGTAAGCCCCATTCTGAGTTTGAAGACCCGAGAGCCAAGGTACAGATATAGAGATAGATAGATGATTGATAGATAGATAGACAGACAGACAGACAGACAGCAGATAGATAGATAGATAGATAGATAGATAGATAGATAGATAGATAGATAGATAATAGATCCTATTGGTTCTGTTTTTCTGATGAAACCTAACTAATACTTATGGTTGCCCTGTCTAGAATCAATGTACACAAATTTAAAAAAGAACAAAACTGGTATGTCAGTTCTCATGTGTTCTTTGTTCTTTGCTCTTTCTACCACTCTGTCAAAGGATGCCATTTGTTGGGACACTTAAGGTGTATAGTCCTAAAAGGCACTGGGATGCCCTACGAGCACTAGTCCCTCCTAAGGCCTTTATGTAGTCAGCATACATAATCATCTGTGTAATCAGTATCAAGTAGACTCTATCAAAGGCAGTTCATCTCTCAATGGTTTGTTCAGTCCAACTGAGATCAACCGTCCTGCATATCATCAGAGTTCCTTGAGGGTGCTTTAACTCAGGACTTTGGAAATAATAGAGAGAATCAGTAAAGAACCAAACTAAGACTTGTGGTAAAGATAATCATCATTAATAACTATATAACTCTTTACAATTTTCAAAGTTCTTCTATATACATTGACTCATTTCTGACTTACATATTAATTGCCACATATCCACATTGTACAAAAATTTCAGCATACTCCAGTCACTCCTGAGGGATCATCATTAATTCCATTTTACAAATGAAGATATTGAGGTTTAAAGACATTGAAACTTACCCAATATATTCAAGTAAGTATCACAATTAAGACTTGAGCCCAGCTGGACACAGTGTCTCACGCCTGTAATCCCAGCATTTTGGGAGGCCAAGGTGGGTGGATCACTCACTTGAGGTCAGGAGTTTGAGACCAGCCTGACGAACATGGTGAAACTCTGTCTCTACTAAAAATACAAAACAAAATTAGCCAGACATGGTGGCACATGCCTGTAATCCCAGCTACTTGGGAGGCTGAGACAGGAGGATTACTTGAACCTAGGAGGTGGAGAATGCAGTGAGCCAAGATCGTATCATTGCACTCCAGCCTGGGCAACAAGAGTAAAACTCTATCTCAAAAAAAAAAAAAAAAAAAAGACTTGAGCTCATACCTACCTAATTGCAGAGCCCATGCTCTTCACTAGTTCACAGTACTCTTACTATAGCCCTGTGAAGGTGGTAGGGTTGATTTTTTTATCATACTCATTTTACAAAGAGTAAGGCTCCAGAAAGGATATGAGTTGACACAGCCGTGCAACTATGACAAAGTAGAAATCAATAAGAATGTCTGACTTTATATCTCACACTCC